GCTCTGTCGGGTTTCACCGACTCCTGTCACCGCTCCACGGGCTGAGGTTTCACTCAGCTCTGTCGGGTTTCACCGACTCCTGTCACCGCTCTACGGGCTGAGGTTTCACTCAGCTCTGTCGGGTTTCTCCGACTCCTGCCACCGCTCCTCGGGCTGAGGTTTCACTCAGCTCCACCGGGTGTCACCGGTTTCCATTGCGAAGGCAGGGCTCGACGTGGCACTCGACCCTGCCCGCAATATCTAACCGTCCCGCCTGACATTAGCTCGTAAGTGCATGCGATAGAGATTAAGGCCGCTAGTTATAAGTCAGTAATCCTAAGACCCCTAGTGGTAACCACGCCGTGTAAATCGACCGTTGCCGACCGCACACCGCACCTGTCCTGCGCATCTCATCGCCTTGCGCCAACCGGTTGCGTCTCCGCTTTGCTACCAGCGACACTGCGACATCTCCTGGCCCTGCACGCTGTATCTCTCTTTCGCTAAATAAACTATCTTTTTCACGCTGCCACTTGTGTTCGCGTACGCTTGAGTCTCCCCTCCTCTCGAACCCGGACACCGACGAGCCGATCCGAGCGTCGAGCGAGGTGACCGCGTTACAATGTTAATATTGGCGGATAAGATACGTGAAGAAATGGAGGAAAAGGGGACTAGTCCATTGAATCAGACACAATTCACGAAAGGAATAGGAATGATCGATAACATATATGTGCTAAATTATTTAGATAAATAGAAAAGAAGTAAATTGATTGCACTGTTTATAGATTTAAGAGCCACGTTTGATTCGATGGATAGAGGAATATTGATAAGATCCATGAGAGAGACAAGGATGAAAGAAGGATTGATGGAGGAAATTATAAGAAAAACGAGAAATAGTGTTAGAAAGGAGAAAGAGAGAGGAAAGGGATTTTGGAGGCAAAGAAGGCTTTTTGAGACAAGGATGCTTAGTAAATCTTATATTGTTTAATTTATTAATAGCGAAGCTAGAGGACGAAATAAGAAATGGAGAGGATTAAACTAGAGGAAGTCAGGATTTATTTACTAGCTTATGTAGACAATATAATATTGATGGCGGAGGAAGAAGGAGGTATAGGAAGTATAATGGATAGGCTAAAGAGGTATCTGAATAAAAAAATCTGAAAAAGGTTTGGAATTGAATAAACCCAGATAGCAAAATGAAGTATGCCAGCACTATGCCAACAGATCCGATCATGACTTTGCAGCAGACCTCAAGTTGCTGTTTCCCAATTAAGCTTAGTTTTTTGCGGCATACCTTCTCATTATAGAATAATGACAAAAATGCAATAAAAATCCAGCATTGCTTGTTACCTCATTATGGTAGCAGATATGTAGTAGATATCGTGCATCTATATCAGATACTGGCGGCAGTGTGCCGTCACGATGTGACGGCAAAAACGCAAAAATCGAATATGATCTACAGTAGGTATACTAGGCCGGTTCTAACCCAGGTCCTCCGAGGGGGGTGCGGGTGTGCGGGGGGGAACGGACGGCGCGGGGAAGAGGGGAGGGGGAAGTCCGAGGCGGCGATCCTTTGAACTGAGCCGGGGGGGGGGTAGATAAGATAGTA